AGTGAAGGAGACAGAGCATGAGTGGGGGTGGGGGCACAGAGAGACACACACACAGAAACTGAAGCAGATTCCAAGCTCTGAGCTGTCAGCACAGAGTTCGATGCGAGGCTCGAACTCATCCATGTGATCATGACCTGAGCTGAAGCTGGACCTTAACTAATTGAGCCACTCAGGCAACCCCTGTTCTATTTAACAATGGAATGTTCTGAATATATCTATGAAATCCATCTGTGCCAGTGTGTTATTCAAAACCACTGCTCTCTTGTTGATTTTCTGTTTTTATGATCTGTCCTTGATATAACTGGGGTATTGAAATCCCTTACTATTATTGTATTTCTATCAATTTATTCCTTCATGTGTGTTGTTAACTTTTTAATGTATTTGGGTGCTTCCATGGTGAGCACATAAACATTTAGAATTGTTTTTCTCTTTGATTGTTCTTTCATTGTTATATAGTGTCATTTGTCTCTTGTTACAGTCTTTGTTTTAAAGTTTAATTTGTCTGATATAAGTATAGCTACTCTGGCTTTCTTTTGGCATCCTTTTGCATGATAAATGTTTCTCCAGCCCTTCTCTTTCAATCTGTATGTGTCTGTAGTTCTGAAATGAGTCTCTTGTAGGCAGTATTTAGACAGGTTTTTTTACTTTCAAAGTAATTATTGATGGAAAGGTATTTCCTGCCATTTTGTTACTTTTTTTGTGGTCCTTTTTGTAGTTTTTCTATGGTTCTTTCTTCTTTTTCTGTCTTTCACAGTTTGCTGGCTTCCTTTAGTGATAAAACTTGGATTCCTTTCTCTTTATTCTTTCCAAATCTTATGCTGGGTTTTGATTTGTGGTTACCAGTAGGTTTGTATATATCATCAACTGCATATACTATATTAAGTTGATGGTCACTTAAGTTAGAACCCATTCTTTTTTCTTACCCTCCACTCCGTGTTTCAGGTATATGGTGTCTCTATTTTCCACCCTTTTATTTTGTGAATCCTTTCACAGATTTTTACAGATACATTTATTTTTACTGCTTTTGTGTTTCCTAATTTACATACTCTTACGTATGGTCTTTCCTTTTCACTCAGAGTGTTTTCTTAAATTTTTTGTAGGGCTGGTTTAGTGGTCACGAACTCCTTTAGCTTTTGTTTGTCTCTGAAACTATCTCTTCTATTCTGAATGGTAATCATGCTTATTAGAGGATTCTCGGCTGCATATTTTTTCATTTTAGCACTTTGAATATATCATGCCAATCACTTTTAGACTGCAAAAATATACTTACAGCTTATGGGATTTCCCCTGTGTGTAACTACCTTCTTTTCTCTTGCTGCTTTTTAAAAAATGTTGTATTTAAGATTTTATTTTTAGGTAATCTCTATACCCAATGTGGGGCTCACTTACAATCCTAAAATCTAAAGTTGCATGTTCCACTGACTGAGCCACCTAGGTGCCCCTCTCTTGCTGCTTTTGAGGTTCTTTATCATTAGTATTTGCCCTCTTTATTACTATACATCTATGATGATCTCCTTGGGTTGATTTTTTGGGGGAGGATCTCTTTGCCTCCTGAATCTGAATATATTTCTCCTTTGCATAAGGAATATATATCCTCTCCTTTTTTTTTTTTTTTTTTTCTTTCAGGTTGCTCATTCGTTCCTCTGCTTCTTTGGCCTGTTTTTATTTCATCTAGTGTATTTTTAATTTTTAATTTTCAATTTTTTTGTTTTCTTCATCTCTAATTGGTTCTTTCTTATCTTTGTTACGGGTCTCACTGATAATTCTCTACTCTTTTCTCAAGTGCAGTGAGTATCTTTATGAACATTGTTTAAATTCTCTATCAGGCATATTACTTGTATCCATTTGTCTTAGGTCTCTTACTGTCCTTTGTCTTATTTTTTTCATCTGGGATATACTCCTCTCTCTTCATTTTACCTAATTCTCTGAGTTTAGTGTTTTGTTTGTTTTTTGTTGTTGTTGTTTTTTGTTTTTTGTTTTTGTTTTTGTTTTTGTTTTTTGGTCAGGAAAGTCAGCTAATATATCCTCCTATTGAATGTAGTGGCCTTATGAAGAAGAGATCTTATAGTGCTCTGAAATGCTGTTCCCCTGTTCCCCACTTGGGGCTTGAGGTGGTGTCTTCTATATGTGTTGAATGTGCTCTGTTATTTGTCCTGGTTTCTTTTTCCTTCAGCCCAGTTGTCTTCAGAGGCTGTCTTTTACCTATTGTAGGCGGTGTTTTGTACCTGGCTGAGATGGGATGTGCAGTTTTAACAAGGTGTGCTATGCTTTTAAGATGAGACCTGCAGCTTTGAGGACCCAAGCTGCATGTGAAGGGTGCATGATCTTACCACGGTGCTCCTCGGACTTCCTCAGGGTCCACAGCTGCTGCTGCCAGAGCTGCAGCCTTGCAAAATGCATGGGTGGAAATAGGCAGTTTGGCAAGGTCCGTGCTGGATTTCTGAGGGAGGGGCCCACAGTGCTGGGACTGAGGCAGACATGGCTGGAAAGGGTGGATATGGGGAAGCACAGGAGTGTGGGACTTAGTATAAGCAAATTAGGTAGTGAATTTCAGAGCATGCTAGTTTCTGCAGGTGGCCCTGTGTTTGTGCTGAGGGTTGAAAGAGGGCAATGGCACCTGCTAGCTCCTTTGTTCCTAGAGGAATCTTCCCCTGGATACCCTCAGAGAGGAGTAAATAACTTTTCCACCTGTATGCCCTGGTGTTTTTCAAAGTGCTGCTTCTAGCCTGTCTTAAGGGCTTTTTGTCCTGCTGTCTCTTTAAGGGCAGAGACTCATCTTCCTATTGCCCTCAGGGCTTTTTCAGTATGGAACTGGCTTTTTTTTTTTTTTTTTTTCTCCCCAGGCTTTACATCCCTCTTGTTTTTAAGAAGTCAGTAAAATCAGTCCTTTTTGCTTTCAAAGCCAAATGTTATGAGGATTCCTCTCTCCCTTGTGAGCTCCCTGGTGTGACAGTCTCTTTATCACCCGTCTTCAGTGCTTGGGGCTCCCTCCTGACCACACATGGCCACTTCTGTTTTGCTTTCCCACCATATCTCCACCCTTTCTACCCTCTTTGATGTGGACTCGTCTCGTCTCTGCCTTTAGATGTGGAATTTGTTCTGCCAGTCTTTAGGTTATTTCTGGGTTATTTACGCTGATGTCAGTGTTACCTAGTTGTATTCATGGGACAGGAAAATGCGAACTTAGGGTCCTCCTACTCCTCCATCTTTCAGCCTCCTTCTAATCCACTGTCTTTAAATGGCAGCCAGTTTTAATTTTTTTATTGACTTGAACTGTTTTCATATATTATTGGAGAATATCAAGAAACTTCCTATCTCCACCACAAGTGATGAAAATGTTCATTTTAGTACCAAAACATTTGAATTTTTCCTCAGGGTGTTATTTGATATTCTTAAATTAAATCCTTTAAAAAAAAAAAAACAAGTAATCTAATTTGGTCTGGCCTCAAAATCTTAAGAAAATTATAACAGATTTACGATCCAGCAAAAGTAATGAAAATAGCTATTTCATAATGTAGGATCTTTAGGAGAGTATTTTGAAATGATAAAATATGTAGTAGAAAGAATATTGGTCTTGGATTTAAGAAATCTATGTTAGAATCCCGGTTCTCAAGCTTGGAGCAAGGAAACTGAAGTTCTCAGCAATGTTGTGAACCATCTTAAGATTAAAAGGCTTTCTCTCTAGCTTATAATGTTTGTTTTGAGAATCCCATAGAAAAGAATATGTGATATCAGATAAAGGGTTAATATCCAGAATCTATAAGGAACTCACCAAACTACACGCCCGAAAAACAAACAACCCAGTGAAGAAATGGGCAGAAGACATGAACAGACACTTCTCCAAAGAGGACATCCAGATGGCCAACAGACACATGAAACGATGCTCAGCATCCCTCCTCATCAGGGAAATACAAATCAAAACCACACTGAGATACCACCTCACGCCAGTCAGAGTGGCTAAAATGAGCAAATCAGAGAACTCTAGATGCTGGCGAGGATGTGGAGAAACGGGCACCCTCCTACACTGTTGGTGGGAATGTAAACTGGTACAGCCCCTCTGGAAAACAGTGTGGAGGTTCCTCAGGAAACTAACAATAGAACTCCCTTATGACCCAGCAATAGCACTGCTAGGAATTTACCCAAGGGATACAGAAATGCTGAGGCATAGGAGCACATGTACCCCAATGTTCATAGCAGCACTCTCCACAATAGCTAAAACATGGAAAGAGCCTAAGTGTCCATCAACAGATGAATGGATCAAGAAGATGTGGTTTATCTATACCATGGAATACTACATGGCAATGAGAAACAATGAAATCTGGCCATGTGTAGCAACATGGATGGACCTTGAGGGTGTTATGCTGAGCGAAATAAGTCAGGCAGAGAAGGACAAATATCATATGTTTGCACATATAGGAGGATTAGGAGGAACTTGACGGAGGAACAAGGGGGAGAAGAAGGGGGGAAATGGTGGGGGAAAGGGAGAGAGGCAAACCATGAGAGACTCTTGAATGCTGACAAAAACTGAGGACTGATGGATGTGGGGGGGAGGGGGGGATGGGCATGGAGGAGGGCACTTTGGGGATGAGCACTGAGTGTTATGTAGAAACTAATTTGACAATAAACTATTTGTAAAAAAAAAAAAAAAAAGAATATGTGAATAGCTTTGTAATATAATTAGTAACAAACAATAAAGGGTTTTTTTTTTTTCTTAATACATTTGCTTCTGTCATCTGGAAAAATATGTAGTGAAGGTTAATGCTGCTAGTTTTAGGAAAAATGGATGGGATCACTGAAACATATTTACTTTCTTTGAAAGATCTGTGTATTCTAAAGAAGCAAGTTGATGTAATAATAACTTTGGTGAATGTGAATCCTACCCCAAAATAAAAATTCAGACTCAACTAAAACTATGCCATTAATTCATAAAGCAAGAGAGCCAACTAAGGAGTAATATAAGCTGGGTATAAACCCTTACTGTGATTTTATTTTATTTTCAGTGTATTTAAATGAAGCAGGATTCAATTTTGTGAGAAAATGCATTCAAGCTGTAGAAACAAGAGGTAAGTATTGTCTGACAGGTACAGCATTACTGTTCATTCTAAAAAGGAATCTCTCAAAAAATGAGGATATCATTTATCATTAACATGAGATTAATTTTAAGAACCATATAAATGTATAAAAGTATCTAAATACACAAATAGCTATAGTCTGAACTTTCCAAAAAATCATACTGTATTTCTTTTTAATGATTTTTCCTAATAAAGGCTTGCTTTATTTCTATTTGATAGACTTTGTGTTATTTATTACTCTAAGCACCTCTTCGATTTTTTTCAAGCTTTAGAGAGGGTAAAGATTCCTAAGGAATTGGTCTTCCTCTTTCCTTATGTTATTTCCCTCAGTGATTTCACTCATGGTCACAATTCTAGTGCCTTTCCCCTCTCTAGTTATGACCTAGAAGCCCATTCTAGTTACCTGTTACACTCTTCCATTTCCAGGAAAACTTGTCTAAAGCAAAACTCATAGCCTTTGAAAATCTTTGAACTTAGATTCAAATTTTGGTGCTGCCACTTAGAAATTTTGAAAAATTAACTGTGTTTCTTCAATTCTCTAAATCTATTTCCTTACCTTCAAAATGAAGGAAGCTGTAAATGACTTCCAGTTCTTCAGCATATAGGACTGCATGACTGAAGAAATAAGATTAGAAATTCTAATCATTCTTTCCCATCTTTGATGTTGGTTGGGTTTTTTGTTTTGTTTTGTTTTTGTTTTTGTATTCAGATAGCAATGAATGAGCAGGGTACTTTGCTACTTTGAAGATCTTCGAAAGACTTTCAAATCACTGTTTAGTGTCTGCTCTGAGAAATATATGTCTGATGGGTGTTTCCAGGGTAGATTTGCTCAAGTTAGACTGCAAAATTAGATAAGTAGCTTTCAAATTCTGCATAGGTATATATACCTGATGTTTTTAACATTCTGTACTTGTGATGCTGTGTCTCAAGACATTCTCTTGTGGTCTTTCCTTCTCATTAGGCATCACTATTTTAGGCCTCTACCGAATAGGAGGAGTGAACTCCAAAGTTCAGAAACTCATGAACACAACATTTTGTAAGTTTTGAATGAAGTTAGTTACTTAATTTTTGTATTCTAGATAATCCATACCATAAGTTTCTTTGAGATATATACTCTTACTGTCCCTTGAATATTTTCAAGAAATATTTAAAATTAATATTTGCTTTCAGTTTTTTGTTTTTTTTTTAATTTTTTTTAATGTTTTATTTATTTCTAGGAGAGAGAGAGAGAGAGAGAGAGACAGCGTGAGCATGAGCAGGGGAGGGTCAGAGAGAGAGGGAGTCACAGACTGAAACAGGCTTCAGGCTCTGAGCTGGCAGTCAGCACAGAGCCTGACGCGGGGCTCGAACCCACGAACTGTGAGATCATGACCTAAGCGAAAGTCGGACGCTTAACCGACTAAGCCACCCAGGCTCCCCTGCTTTCAGTTTTTAATGTTCCGTTTATAATAGATGAACAGTCAGAATTTGAGAGAGAGCCTTTTCACGTTGGACTTTCTCTCAAGTGTCTTTTGGTTAGCTAGACGTACAGTGAGATTTATGGATGCTGGATTCAGATTGCCTAGCTTGGAATCCTGATTGACCACTTAAAAGCTTTGTAACCTTGGGTAATTTGTTTAACTTCTCTGTGCCTCAACCTTCTCATTCATAAAATGAGGATGATAATAATAGTGCCTGCTTCATTGAGAAGTGTGAGGATTGGATATGTTAATCCATAAAAAGTACTTGCAAGCATGCCTGGTGCATGGTAAATGCTCAGTGGTTAGCAATTAATAACCATTTTATTTGGAAAACTATTATTCCACAAGAAACCTTTGAGGCTTATAAAGTGTCAGAGTGAAATTTGTACCAGTGCACACAAACAACAGTCCTAAAGTTAGCTCCGTTGCATCCTGAGAAATAAACGTCTGTCTCTTTGCCCTACTTATGTTTGTGTCCATCTTCTTAATGGTGCAAGTGACATTAGAATTGCACAGGTTAAACATCTTATTTTTATTCTTTACAGCTCCAAAATCCCCTCCTGATATTGACATTGATATTGAATTGTGGGATAATAAGACAATAACAAGTGGGCTGAAAAACTACCTCAGGTAAGGAGTGTTTAGCTTGTACTCCCCATACACTCTCTCTCTTACCTCCTTGGGCATTGCCATGTGACTCTATGGAACACCTGTGCACGAGCTTCACTACTTAGAGTCCTTCTTTCACTTCAGGTGAAACAGCATAAGGTGGTAATGCTTATGTTTAGTGTTTTGGAACTTGTACTTGGTTTTTCAACTAATAAACTTAAGAAGCTGCAATATTTTATGAACACTAAATACTAGTTTGCTTCATATTAAATTTGAATGTAGTGTTTTCATGTATTTTTCAAAAATAAGTTGAAAGTAAAAGTTGTTTTTTGTTTGGTTTTTGTTTTTTATTTAAGTATAGTCCCCATATATTAGAGAGGCTGTTGTGATTGAATAGTTCTTATAAAGTGAACAAAATCATTTTCTAGTCTGTCCTTTTAGCACAGTTGTGCCAGGAAATGCTGCTAAAGGGCCTTGGTAGCTTCGAGATCTGCATTTTGGGATTGCCTGGATCCGCCCTAGTAGGACTTTATCATACTCCCTAATCACCCAATTCTTAAAGAAGCATTAGAAGTGCAGGGAAAATAAAATTGTCATTCTAATGCCCTCTTCTTCCTCCATTGCAGGTGCCTTGCAGAACCACTGATGACTTACAAGTTACACAAAGATTTTATTGTTGCAGTTAGTAAGTACACCTCCACTGAATGCATTATAATTGATATAGTTTTATGCTATATCACTTAGAGGTGTAAATTTAAACCAGCTAGTTAAGATTTTCCTACATCTTGCTTAAGAAACCGTCAGTCTTAATAGCTTAATAGCTGATAGTATGGTTTGTAAGCAAATAAGAAACGGCAGAATGATGGATTAAAGACCTAAATGTGAGACTTGAAACCATAAAACCGGAAGAAAACATAGACAGTAGCTTCTTTGACATTGACTAGAGAAGCATTTATCTAGATATGTCTCTGCTGGCAAGGAAATCAAAAAACAATTGGGACTACACTAAAATAAAAAGGTTTTGCACAGTGAAGGAAACCATCAACGAAACAAAATGGCAACCTACTAAATGGGAGAAAATATTTGCAAATGATATATCCAATAAGGGGTTAATATCCAAAATATGTAAAGCACTTACACTTAACACTAAAAAACCCATTTGATTAAAAAAGGGGAGGACCTGAAGAGACATATTTTCCAAGCAGACATACAGATGGCCAATAGACATATGAAAAGATGCTTAACATCACTCATCATCAGGCAAATGCAAATCAAAACTTCAGTGAGATATCACCTCACACCAGTCAGAATGGATGAAATTAATAACACAAGAAACAAGTGTTGATGAGGATGTGGGGGAAAAAAAGGAAACCGTCTTGCACTGTTTGGGAACGCAAACTGGTGCAGCCACTCTAGAAAACAATATGAAAGTTCCTCAAAATATTAAAAATAGAATTACCAGGGGATCCAGTAATTCTGCTAGTATTTACCCAAAGAAAATGAAAATACCAATTCAAAAAGATACATGCTTCCCTATGTTTATTGCAGAATTATTTACAATAGCCAAAACATAGCAACAACAGAAGTGTCCATCAATATATGAGTGGATAAAGAAAATATGGTATATATACACAATAGAATATTACTAAAGCATAAGAAAGGATGAAATCTTGACCTTTGCAACAACATGGATGGACCTAGAGGGCATAATGCTAAGTGAAATAAGTCAGAAAGAAAAAGACCAATACCCTATGATTTTACTCATATGTGGAATTTAAGAAACTAGACAAAGAAAAAGACAAAAAGAAAACAAACTCTTAAATACAGAGAACAAACTGGTAGTTGTCAGAAGAGAGGTGGGAGGGGATGATAGAAATAGATAAAAGAAATTAAGAATACACTTCCTTGATTTAAAAATATCGCAGAATGAATTAAAAGGTTTTGTCATTTAATAAGACTTCATTGGGGTTACTGGAGTGCTAAGAGAAATTATTTTAAATGCATTTTACTCAATTGATAAATGTCAGTTTCTTACAAGAGCAACTTTATTGTTAAATAGACAAGACTATGAATATACAGTTAGTTATGCCACCTACTCATACTCACATGCTATATTCCTAAATCTGGAGAGCAAAGTCAGGTATTTTTGGCAGGTAATAGGCACTTCCATCAATCCTTTTCCCCCCTATTATCACATATCTATGTCACTTATTTAGATCTGTTATTGCTATAATAGGGTATGTATCGATAGGCTTAATTCAGAAATTGTGGAAGGAGGAGCTCGGTAAAAAACATGTAACCTGAAAAAGTAGAAATACTTACTTTTAAAACATTGCGATGAAAGTGCTGGGTTGCCATTTGAGCCCGTTACAACAGTTTGTAACTACTAGGAATTAGCATTTCATTGTTCAGATGTATGAGGTGTGACTGTACCAGGTAGTTTTCACAGTCCAAGAAAGAAAGCATTAATTTATTACCATACATTGTAATGTCACAGGAAATGTTGTCTGCCGATAAGTGTCAGATAACGTTGAGTGACCTTGGTTTTCAATCCAGCATACGTGACTGACCACATGATCTCATAAACAAACACCTATAACCACTTAGCTTTCTCCTGAAAGCTCTCCACTCCATATTCTGTTCACCAGAATCTATCCATATTTGATGAACAAGACCTTAGAAAATATATAATCTCACCTCTCATTTTATTGACTACGTCACAGAGTCGGCAAGTGACTTTTTCCAAGGATACTAGTAAATTGATAGCAAAATCAGTGCTTATAAGCCAATTTTTTTTACTCTTAACCTAGAACTTTCTTACAGAAATTTTGTGTTTTAACAAATGGCATTTGAGCCACTTAGCTAAGCGCTAAATGATCCTGGTTGTTTTAATAGAAATATTTGGTCATAAGAGTTTTTTCCCACTTCCATGGCTTAATAATCACATTATTCACTATTATGATAATTAAAATATGTTCTTATGTATAAGAATTCATCTTTTGTCTGGTTCAAGGATAATCCCATGTACTAGATAATAAGGTAGTACAGTTAAGTATTATTTGGAAATTTAGCTCTGTTAAAAGGGGAAGTTGTTCAGAAATTAAAAGGTATCTCACAGAATTCCCTGGAAGAGTATGGATCAGGCCTTCCATAGGCCTGCAACTAGGAACTACAAAATTGGGAGTTTACATTTTTCTCCCCACCCTTTTAGGAGCATCTCTTCCCTGTTCTTTACTGTATATCTGCCTCGTTCTTATCTCCCTTTCCAGGTAGATTTTTCTTGGCTTTGGAACACATTTGGTCATGTCATCCCTGGTTTTACACTATATGCCTTTTCACATATCCAGCAGACAGATCAGAGTTTTGATGTCTCCATTCCAACCCCTGGGAGACCTTGTGTTTGGCCCAGCATGAGCCAGCTCTTTTCCCACCTCATGTTCGGCACTTTTCAGAGAAAGGGCTTGGCAGGTTGGGTAGTCACCCTAGAATTTATTGTAGTAAGAGCATGTTAATAGAATCTTCATTCTGAAGTGTCAGACATTTCTCTAGCAGACTGTCAACACGTTGGCTTTGCCTGGCAGACTAGACTTGCTTTAGATGTTTGCTGCTGTTGTTTCCTTTTCAGATTGACCATTGTCAGCATGGGCTTAGAATCTGTTAGGCCTCTGTTTGCCTAATACTGACACTTCAGAAAAGTAATTCCCTGTTGTCTTTAAATCTATAAAATTTGGAAACGAATGCCTTCTTCCTTCAGTCTGATGGAGTCAGTAGGAGGTTTCTGTGTGATAAAGTATATTATATTGCCTAGAACATGAGGCAGTCTGTACCAGTTGCTGTGATCACTCACATTACTAAAGTTTTGAATCTGTCCTTGTGTAGCAAAACCAAAGCAGACAATGAGTTGTGGTTGTATAGAAGTTCACTGGCTACGAGCACAGATCTGAATTAGATGGAACTGGGTTAGTTTGACTTCTTTACTTAATTGACTTCATGACCATGGTGAAGTTACCCAACCTCTCTAAGCCTTAGAGTATGATAGTGATGTACTGCATAAAGCAATATTTATAAAGCAGGAGGGTGGGAGTGTCCATAATGTTTCAATTACTAATGCTTATATACACATTTGAATGCAATTAAAACTTGATCATTTGCAACCTTTATGTTATAGAATCTGATGACCAAAACTACCGGGTGGAGGCTGTGCATGCATTGGTGCACAAATTGCCAGAAAAAAACAGAGAGATGCTGGACATCTTAATAAAGCACCTTGTCAAGTAATTATCTGATTTATATTGTTCACTTAACTACTTGTCCAACTGATAAAGTTAGGTCTTGTTCATATCTTTCTGAAGTGTATGATGGTGCTATAACAGTGTTATTATAATTAGAGTCCATTGAATATTTTTTTTAAAATGATGTGGCAGTTTATTTTTAAGATATACGTGTGTGTGTGTGTACCTGTGTATGTTTATACTATGTAAATGATTAATATCCTTTGCAACTGTTAAATTAATGATGAAAACCTTACATGTCAACTTAAAATATATGAAGGAATTTGAAGGCTTAAGTTTGAAGATCAGTTCTCTGTACTACTAATGTCAGCAGGTTCTGCCAGGTCAAAGTGCCACTCTAATGTTAGCTTCTTTTTCTGAATTCATAGCATCACTTGGTCTCTGAAGATTTTTCTGACTCTGCTGTTAGTTCATGTATATATTTTTAAATCTCTATGAACAGATACTGTATTAGTCAAGTTTCTCCAGAGCAACAGAACCTATTGGATGTATGTCAATATGTAGTTATATGAACACGTGTGTTTGTGTGTGTGCGCGTGCATGTATGGTGTATGTATGTACGTGTGTATATGTGTATATATATGAAGTGTATGAGAGATAGATTGATTATAAGGAATTGAGCTGCACTATTGTAAAGGTTGTTAAGTCTAAACTCTGCAGGGCAGCTGGTAGTCTGCAGACCCAGGAAAAAGTTGACATTACAGCTCTAATCCAGGGCAGTCTGGAAGCAGAATTCTCTCTTCCTCAGAAGACCTCAGTCTTTTTTAAGACTTTAAACTGATTGGATGAGGCCCACTCACATTATGGAGGGTAATCTGCTTTACTCTAAGTCTACTGATTTAAATGTTAACCTTTTACAAAAAAAAAATACCTTCACAGAATGACTAGAATTACATTTGATCAAATATCTGGGTGCTGTGGCCTCATAAATCTTTCTAAAGGTTCTTTCTCTCTCCCTCTCTCTCTCTCTCTCATTCACACACACACACACACACACACACACACAGTTGCCATGCTGCTGTAAACAGAAGTTCAAATTCAGATTTTAAACTTAAGAATTCCCTACAGCCTCATTTACAAATCAGGATATTTTCCATCTTAGTAAGTACTGTGATTCACAATGAAATAATTACTCCTTCCTTGCTTACTACAAGTTGTAACCCAGTTTATGCTAATTTGAGCCAGGCACATTTGAAATACATAGCACATCAATAAACCTCATCTTAATCTACAGATGAGATAATACGAATTGCCCTCCTTCCCTCTTGAAATAAGGAAATCCACTAGAAACTACATCTTTTCAAGTTCATTATAAACTGTTGCCATGGCAATACCTCTTTTAGTTAATGAACAAGGATTCTTGGTCAGATTTAGTTTTGATTGATGTTTTTTTTAAATGTTTTATTTATTTCTAGGAGAGAGAGAGAGAGAGACAGCGTGAGCAGGGGAGGGTCAGAGAGAGAGGGAGTCACAGACTGAAACAGGCTCCAGGCTCTGAGCTGGCAGTCAGCACAGAGCCCGACGCGGGGCTCAAACCCACAAACCGTGAGATCATGACCTGAGCGAAAGTCAGATGCCTAACTGACTAAGCCACCCAGGCGCCCCTTGATTGATGTTTTGAATTGTGTGACCTCTTCATGAAATTTAACCTCTGTATGTATGGAGTATTCTCTTGCTGTATTCAAGCTAATTTTCTAGCATAGCCTTTTTTTGAGGTTATTTATTTATTTTGAGAGAAAGAGAGAGAAACAAAACATGAGCAGGGGAAGGGCAGAGAGAGAGGGAAAGAGAATCCCAAGCAGGCTCTGCACTGTTAGTGCAGAGCACGGGGCTCCAACACAGGAACCATGAGATTATGACTTGAGTCAAAATCAAGAGTTGGTCACTTAATTGACTGATCCATCCAGGCACCCCTCTAGTAAAGTCTTTTAAACCATGCTTTTTATATACATATATTTTTTAATGTTTATTTAATTTTGAAAGAGAGAGAGACAGAGCACTAGCAGAGAGAGAGAGGGAAACACAGAATCTGAAACAGGCTCCAGGCTCTGAGCAGTCATCACAGACCCCAACATGGGGCTTGAACTCACAAACTGCGAGATCACGACCTGGACTGAAGTAGGACACTTAACCACTTCTTAAGAAAGCACACATTTAAATGTGCCTTTAAAAGCTACATGAGTGTCACATAAGATGTTTTTTGTTAAATTATCCAGAATGTTAAATGAACTCAGATTCCTCCCTCTTTGTGAATGTGATGGCAATAGTACAGAGAAAAGCAGAGGATACTATCTGGCCATAGAAGAGTGCTTAAAATTCTTTTGCCCATCTTTCCCCAACCCCCATTCCTGGCTTTTTTCCTGAGCCTATAAAAAGGTCAGTCTTCATTGACTAAGCAGTATTGTTGGAATGTGTATCCACATCACCAGTGACTTACTTAAGTAAACTACAAAAGAGTAATAACACTCTTGGTCCCTAGCAACGTTAATATATCTGAAGAAGAGAATTTAAGACCAGTCATCTGGATTGATTACTGGTCTAAAGGACCAGTGACTAAAAGATTGATTTCAAATCTCGATTAATTAGCTCTGAGACATGGTATAAACCATTACTTCATTTCTGAGACTCCTTTTTTTTTTGTCTTTAAAACAAAGGCCATCTGTAGTTTCTTCTTTGACTCTAACTTTGAATATTTAAAAACATTTTTAATGTTTATTTTTGAGAGAGAGAAACATAGAGTGTGAGTGGGGCAGGGACAGAGAGAGAGAGGGAGACACATAATCTGAAGCAGGCTCCAGGGTCTGAGCTGTCAGCACAGAACCCGAAGTGGGGCTCAAACTCACAAACCATGAGATCATGACCTGAGACAAAGTCAGACACTTAACCCAACTAAGCCATCCAGGCACCCCTCTAACCTTGAATTTTTAAAAAGGCAATTGGGTGTCTGTTCCTTACAACAAGTTAAGGAAATGAGGTGCAGAAATAGCTGAAATGTAAGGTGATAAGTGTCTATATTGATTGAGTTAGCTCAGCAGAAGGAAAAATCAGTGAAGAGAAAATTGCTTATCAAAATATTCCATCTCCTGAGCAACACAATCATAAGCTCACCTTTTCAAAGCCATTTTTTAGGAATTCCAAATTCATTCCCCATGAGTTTAATATTAATCATATTTCAGTTTATTCACACTACAAAGCACCACAAACTCTTACATTTTAGCAAGAGTGCCCAAAGCCAATTTAATTACAAGGAAGACTATTAGTTGAGATCATATTTTCTGTAACTCATTATTTAATTTTATCAGCCCTATAGGGATTGTTATTCTTTATAGATGAGGAAACTTAAGCCTAGGGATATTAAATAACTTGGATGATTGCACCCAGCTTCAAAGTTGGATGGATCCAAGCTTTAAACACGTACTTTTACATACTACTTTCTTAGTAGATTCTCTAATACATACCAAACAGTTAATATATAATATTTGGCTATATAAAAAGGAAATATGGAATGAAACTTCTTCTTATTCTAACCAAGAGCTTCTTAACTGGTGCTCTGTCAGCTACAAGGGAAAAATTCAGTCTGTGAGACAGTCAGCTAGCTCTTCTTGTCCTGTACTAGGATTTGCATAGGTATTCAAAATCCTGGATTCCCCATAAAATTTTACTTTTGCTTATGAAATGTAGTTAGTGATGCACACTTAGTCAGGTATAAACATGATCTTGTGTTCAGTATTCCTCTCTAGAATTTCATATTTTAACAACATGCCTGGAAGTAATATAGAAAAACCAGTGGGTAACCTAGAAGATTGGTCTAATGAATGAGGTTTTCTCTTAGGAATATGTCCAGTTCTAAAATGAATTAGTCAAAGTCGTCTTTGATAGTTGCTGGGATTACTTTGCTAAAGTCAGTAATACCAGAGGCTTTTTCTTTCATTTCCATTTTCAAGCCAGCATTGATGTTACCACATCTCCTTCTCTTACTGTTTGCCAGCCACAGTGCCCAGCACTAGGGAGGCATTGAAGGAAGTTTTGAATGAATGGGTGGGTGGATGAGTGGATGAATGGAAGGAAATAAGAAGGGAAATAAGGAAGGAAAAAAAGGAAAGATAGAAACATGCATTGGCCATTTGTCTTATGTAGGGAACTTAAGAAAACCGCTGACTTGTATTCAGGAACTTAAATCTTTGTCCCTAATTTGCTGTGACCTTGAGTACATCATTTCTACTTTAGGAGCTTCTTAACCTGTACAATAGGAAAAACTGACTTCCTGGAAAGATTAAATGCAATAATGTCTATGAAAATGCCTGGCACTAGGTACTCAATAATAGGTTTAGTATATCTGATTATAATTCCAACCAACCTAATTTTAAGCATCTGTTCTGAAAGAAGTATAGTACCCTAGAGAATACCTAACAGCTAATAATCTCTGTAAGGTAGTTGTATTGTATTTAGGATATCAAGATTTATTCCTTTAATGTTTATTTTTTGAGTGAGAGAGAGAGAGGGAGAGAGAATGAGAGAACGAGTGGACAAGTGGGGAAGGGGCAGAGAGAGAGAGGGAGACACAGAATCTGAAGCTGGCTCCAGGCTCTAGGCTCCAGGCTCCAGGCTCCATGCTCCACGCTGTCAGCACAGAGCCTGACACGGGGCTTGAACTCACAAACGGTGAGATCATGACCTGAGCCAATGTCAGACACTTAACTGACTGAGCCACCCAAGTGTCCCAAGATTTATTTTTTAATTAACCTTTGTAATTAATTTTACTTAGCTAATGTTAACTTTTTTATGTCTTTTTAGGCTATACCCACTCATGCCAATTGGGAATGGCTGAATCTGACAATTTGGGAAAATTAACCTATAATGTCATAGTTTACATTCTATTTATGCCACAAATTTGATAACATTTCATAATTATTAAACTTTTAACTTATGTTATCTTTGTTTCTGTTATTTGCAGAGTATCGCTACACAGCCAACAGAATCTAATGACGGTCTCAAACCTTGGTGTCATATTTGGCCCAACTCTTATGAGAGCACAAGAAGAAACTGTGGCTGCCATGATGAATATTAATTTTCAGAATATTGTGGTTGAAATTCTGATAGAGCACTATGAAAAGGTAAGTGAATTTTCATGTGGAAGTATCAAATCTTCTATTTTGCTTTTAGGAAAGAATTTTATGTTTGTATTATCTAAGAGTTCATTGTAATCTCCAATTCTCATAAAGGATGAGTCTTGTACATTTTATATAAATTGCTTCTTCATGAGGACTTTAATTTCTTTTTTTCTTGTTTAGCTTTTAAGTGCTTTTCAAAATCCTTCAGGTAAATGATTTCCTTTCCTTTGACATCATTTACTTTTCAAGATTTTCTTCTTTAGTAATTATGTAGTGAATTTTTCACTAATATTAAGAGAATTTGTTAGAATCACTTGGTACTTATGTCTATTTATAACCTTTTTATCTCTGAAATTAGACTTAACAACAGCAGTGATATTCTCAATAAACCAAAAGAATTCCAGGAAGAGTCTTGAAGTCCTCTCTACATTCAAAAACATGGTTTCTTTAACAAGATTGAGATCTTAGAATAACTGTAAAAATGGAAATTGGGAAAGTCAAACTGATTGGCTTATTAAGCATTTCCAGCCATTAAAAGTCAAAACCTTTGTGATCCATTTATGCCTGGTCTAGTGTTTGGGGGAGAAAGACTATGCCCCTCCCTTCCTTGAGTCCCTTCCTGGTGCCTGTAGAAGAATATCCTTCATTTATCTAAGCTAATAAGCACTTACAACCCAAGACCACATGAGGGAATTCTGTAGCCTAGCACAGACCTCTACCTGCAGCTTGCCACTTTCCATGACAGCTCAGAGCCAACAGCATGACAGCACCTTCACCTGAGAAGCAAGGAATTGCTTAGTTGGGGAAGTGTTACAGAATGAGCCTTTTCCCTTCAGGGTATGTTCAGCATGAAGTGAGAACTAAAATGTCACAGTAAAGAGTCAAGGTGTCTTGACACAGACATTTGTTCATATTTGAAAGGTTTCTTTAAAATTATTGGAAAATCTTCTGAAATTCGTTGTTGGGAATTTGGGGAGGATAAAAAAGAAAACCCAGAGAAGGAACATTATACAGTGTAAGTGGAAAAGAAAAGTATAATTGCTGTAGGATATTTTTTGTATCAAGCATCTCTTACCACGAAGCTGATTAAGTAGCAAATGGTTCTGAGATTATTTAATAATTCTAAAATATAATTTTATCATGAAAATGGCAATTCCCCCCTTTTACTGACCTCTATCCATTTTTTTTTTGTATGTAGATTTTTCATACTGCCCCAGACCCAAACATTCCACTTCCTCAGCCGCAGTCTCGATCTGGTTCCCGAAGGACACGAGCAATCTGCCTTTCCACGGGTTCCCGGAAGCCCAGAGGAAGGTATACACCGTGCTTGGCAGAACCTGACAGTAAGTGTGATTGCTTTAGGGAGATGCTTTCTTCATTCTTTGATTTAGCCTTACTTCACCTTTTTGGTAATTAGGGTAGCAATAAATAGAAGATGATCTTACGGATACTGTCTCCCCAATGTCCCCCCTCCCACATTTATATATTCTTTGTCAGTATGGTTACAAGGTACTTTGAACAAACAAATTCATTACTACTACAAAGGGAAAAGAAATAGTTTGCTAAGTGCCCTTTTTTTCTGCAACTGTGATTAAGTACATCAGGTACTACTTTGTAGCAGGTTTTGTCCTATTGTTAAAGTGGTAGAGAAGAAAGCAAGAAAAAGTCTGGCTGAAGCCGTCAGTTTCTTTCTTCCTTTCACATTATGTCCTTAAAGCATCATCTCTTGGGTATCAAAATGTCTGAGAGAGAAAAAAAAAGAAGTAAATAGAGAGCCCACGCTACACATTATCACTAACTTCCCGTTCTGAACCGAGCCCCACAGTGAAGTGGGTGGCAGCTTGAGCCCACAGTGGATGTTAAATTTGTGGCTGTTTTTATTTTACTTTATGCCCTTAAGCCCCCCAGTTTTTCTCACAGCCACTACTTAACAGAATATTAACTTTTAATTTAGGTATGTTCAAATACTTTATTACAGATTTTCTAATTTGTATCTTAAACCTTACCTTTAGGAACATTAAAAAATAATCTCAGTTAAATATATGAGCAGCAAGGGGCACCTGGGTGGCTCAGTCCGTTAAGCATCCAACTTTGGCCCAGGTCATGATCCCACAGTTTGTGAGTTCGAGCCCCGCATTGGCCTCTGTGCTTACAGCTCAGAGCCTGGAGCCTGCTTCAGATTCTGTGTCTCCTTTTCTCTCTGCGCCTTCCCAGCTCATGCTCGCTGTCTCTCTGTCAAAATAAATTTAAAAAAAATTTTTTTTAATGTGGGTAGCTTGTAATTAGTAGCTGACATTACTGGTGAGTTTGAATGAAGAAAGAATCAGATGCATTATAACATCAGAAAAGTAAAAAAAGGCAGAAACAGATATTTTAATATCCCTCTTTGCGTTGATCGCTTGTATGTCATCACAGAATCTTATTTGTACTACTTGTGAGTTCTTTTCCAGAAGCAAATTTTGTCCGAATTCAAGTTAGCCACCTAATCCTTTAAGAAGTAACGTTATTTCATAGGGTCAGAGTACATATAAAATCTCCCTTGAATAGTATTAAAAAATGCATTCACTAAGTTAAAATGTATGATTTAAAGCCTTTCTCCAGAACTGAGGAAAGTTCTCCATTCTTGATAAAGACTTGTCACTTCAGTGGGGTCAGGTGGCCACAGGGCACACAGGAGTTGGAGAATGTGGAAGGGTTTGGGTTGTATTGTTCCCAGTAGAAGAATCTTGTTGTTTTCTCGCTCCTGCTCCCGCTCAGGTGACTCTTACAGCAGCAGCCCAGACAGCACACCCATGGGGAGCATCGAGTCACTTTCCTCTCACTCCTCTGAACAAAACAGCACAACCAAGTCCACTTCCTGCCAGGCCAGGGAGAAATCTGGAGGGATTCCTTGGATTGTATCCCCATCACCCTCCAACGGACAGAAAAGTCTTGGACTCTGGACAACTAGTCCTGAATCAAGTTCTAAAGAGGATGCAACCAAAACAGATGCAGAATCAGATTGCCAGAGTGTTGCCTCAGTCACCAGCCCAGGGGATATTTCCCCACCCATAGACCTGACCAAGAAAGGGCCTTATGGGCTTTCAGGACTGAAAAGAACCTCCGCTTCCTCTCTCAGATCCATCTCTGCAGCGGAAGGTAAACCAGATTTGAGCTTATGTAAAATGTCATTGTCTCTGTGTCACTTGCTGAATTGTTCAGCATGATTTAAGCAGGGAAAAGTTAATGGTGAAGGGGCTGACAATGCTGTTCTGGAGCTAGGATATTCAGAACGCCCGTGCACTGTGACTTCTTTCCTGGATATTTCCATCTCTGTGAGATGATGTCCTTGTAATTACTGTAGATTGTGATGGGCTGCTGTGCTCAAAAAACATTCTGTACCTTCTCATTTGGGCTTAGAGAAAACGCTTCCTTTTGTTATGAGCATGTACTGTGTTACTGCTATTATTTTGTCTGATAGCACCTTGCCTGTTTTCTTGGGCTTTCTTTTTAGGAATCAAGAGCTACAGTGGATCCATTCAAAGCTTAACTTCTATAGGTTCCAAAGAGATGCCGAAAGCCCCACCAAACCCAGACCTGCCTCCAAAAATGTGTAGGAGGTTAAGGCTAGACACTTCCTCAAGCAATGGCTACCAGCGACCTGGGTCTGTGTAAGTGAGAGAGAGAGTATATATTTGTTGTATCTTACAGGGATACACAGGAGTTAAGTATATTCACAAGAACCCTTAGGAGTCCCACACTGAATACCTCGTCTGCAGAGTAGGAACAGTCATCTTCTGTAGAACTCTATCCCCTTCTACAAATGATGTGCAAGTTAGAGTAGGCTTAAAGTATGTGTGTGTATACATATACATATACAATCTCAGGCACTTGCCTTACAAGCAGAACAATGGCTTAATTTAAGGACATGACAATAGATGTATAACATAATAGTTTTGGGTTTTGAAAGTAGACATTCTAGAAAAACTAGACATCTGCATCTCAGCTGAGCAAACTGCCCTTATATCCTAGCTTCCCCACCTCCTTGTTAGAAGTACAGCTGCTGTGTAGATAGTAAGGTTTGTTTTCTCTCACCTCCACCATCTGTCTCCCCTATCTGAGTATTCACTGATTTAAACAAGTTCATGGAGAACAAGGAACTTGAAAGGTGAGAGAGAGTACTTCTAATCAAAAGACATGACCCAGGAGGGTAAAGGCAGATAGGATAGGCACATGGATGTAAATAAGAAGGGGACAAAGAAAAGAACTTGGATAAACAAGCAAAATCTAAAAAGGAAAGATTTTATCCCTTTCATTTTGTTTTCCTGACTTACTGAGCTTTCCAAATGCCATATGAGCTATTACTGGGGATCTTTACATGTGTTATCTCTTAATATCCTTCATGTACTTCCACAGTAGGTAGTAGAAGCCTCATTTTAGAGATAATGAGAACTAATACTTGGAAGGTTAAGGAACCAGTTTAATTATTCATTGAAAGTCTAGTAAGGCATTTCACTAAGCTTGTTTCCATAGGAACAGTGTCGTAAATTCATTTGTTCATCACCTTCTTTGACAAGAACCTTTTACTTTCAGAGTGTGTTTAACATATATTATCTCTCTTGGTCAGAAATCCAAGTACCACTTATATAGACCAATACTGTATTTGATATATGTCTACCACCTGGTATGTATAGGTCTAGCCATTAAGGGAAATTAAATTTTAAGCCAATATGTCAAGGGAGATGGGAGAATATAAACTCCATCCTTTGTGAGGGAAAGAGAAGAATTCACTTCTGTTTTACAACTGTACTGACAAAGCAGAAATTAAAATTGAGAGAAAGTATATTCTATATTAGGTATAAAATGATCCTTCAGATTATCAACTGGCTAGGCTCTGGGAGAAAAGTTGTCAATTAAAGAAATAAGATACACTTTAAAATCTAGTTTAAAACATCATTCAAGGAATTTGATATTCTCTTCTAGTAAATATAGAAACTTTTCTAATTACCCCAGGTGCCTTAGTTTTAATATAGTCTCACTTTTTCAAAGAGACCATGCGCTGCCTCCCATGAACTGAAATAAGATTTGAATCCATAAATGTTATTTATTGGCCGTATTTTCAGAGTTCCTCTTTTCACTTTATAGGAACTGTGTTCAAATTTTTTAAAAAATGAAACATTTTAGAATTAGTTTTGTCTAAGCTATCAGAATGAACAACAGTTCTTTGTCTTGATGATTTGATTCTTCCCTGTGGCTTCACAGGAGTCAATATCACTGCCAGAAGCTGAGTGGGGAGAAAATGTTCTTTTTTACTGTTCCCACAGTTTTCTGAAGTAGGAAAGATGAGAACAGTAAGATCCTCAGGGGAGGTAGCTATAGGTTTATTACATCTGGTACTCTATGAGCTGGAGACTAGAGCTAAAAATTTCTGCCACATGAAATCTTAAAACAATTAAAATTCAGGTCAAACTTTGGGGATAGTTCTTTAATTATATTTGGTTTGTGTTAACTGATAACCCTGAATTATACTTTGAACTGAATAATTTAATTTTGATTTTAATGAAAATTGCATTTTAAAATTATTCTCAGTGTGGCAGCAAAAGCCCAACTGTTTGAAAATGTTGGTTCACTTCAACTGGATTCTTCTGGGCGGTAAGTTCTCAAAGTCATTAAAGTAAAAAATAAGTAAATGAAGTAGTGACATTGTTGTTTTTTGTTGACACATTGAGTCATCTTTGACAGCTCTGACCTTTAGTTTTGCAGATGAAGTCCACACCCACTGTGTCTGCACACAGGAAAAAGGTCATGTCTGTGAACGGCACTTAGCCTCTCAGACTATTCCACTAATGCCTTATTTACTAAAATCTTCACAAAGGAAGAGTCCTAAACAAGTTTTCTAAAAGACACAAGTTGCCATAACCTTTTGCATACTAAAGACTCCTTTGATGACAATTTGTGGAAAGTTTTCAAAAGTATATTTGTGACCTTTAAAAGTAACAGAACTTTATGTGGAACAAGTTTATGAACATGCATTAAAAATTTGCTTATTCTTAATGACCACTGTGTTGCTGTAGGCTGATTGACCTAAACAGCTTTCTTTTTTTTTTTTTTTTAATGTTTTATTTATTTCTAGGAGAGAGAGAGACAGCGTGAGCAAGGGAGGGTCAGAGAGAGAGGGAGTGACAGACTCTGAAACAGTCTCCAGGCTCTGAGCTGGCAGTCAGCACAGAGCCCGACGCGGTGCTCGAACCACGAACCGCGAGATCATGACCTAAGCGAAAGTCGGACGCCTAACCGACTAAGCCACCCAGGCGCCCCTAAACAGCTTTCTTTTTAATTATTATTATTTTTTAAATTTACACCCATGTTAGCTTATAGTGCAACAATGATTTCAGGAGTCGATTCCTTAATGCCCCTTACCCATTTAGCCCAGGCCCCCTCCCGCAACCCCTCCAGCAACCCTGTTTGTTCTCCATATTTAAGAGTCTCATGTTTTTCTCCTTTTCCCTGTTTTTATATTATTTTTGCTTCTCTTCCCTTATGTTCATCTGTTTTGTATCTGAAAGTCCTCATATGAGTGAAGTCATATATTTGTCTTTTCTCTGACACTAATTTCACTTAGCATGATAGATACCCTCTAGTTCCATCCACGTAGTTGCAAATGGCAGGATTTCATTCTTTTTGATTACCGAGTAATACTCCATTGTGTACACACACACACACACACACACACACACACATATAAACCACATCTTCTTTATCCATTCATCCATCGATGGACATTTGGGCTCTTCCCATAATTTGGCTACTGTTAACAGTGCTGCTATAAACATTGGGGTGTATGTGTCCCGTCGAAACAGCACACCTGTATCCTTTGGATAAATACCTAGTAGTGCAATTGCTCGGTCATAAAGTAGTTTTATTTTTAATTTTTTGAGGAATTGCCGTACTGTTTTCTAGAGTGGCTGCCCCAGTTTGCATTCCCACCAGCAGTGCAGAAGAGATCCTCTTTCTCCCCATCCTGGCCAGCATCCAAACAGCCCTCTTTTAAGTGTAGTACTTCATTCAGGGTTTCTAGGTATCACCTTCAACTCTGTTGTTAAAAAGACACAGGTCGTTACATTTTACTGCTGTTAATGTGCTTGCTTCTGAGGTTTTGCTTTCCTCTCCTCCCCTTGTCAAATTGATTCTTCTCATCCACAGTGGGCTTTGGTTTTTTATTTGAATACGTCTGAAATAATGGAATTTTTTAGTATTTTGATATTTGTTTTTTTTGTTTTGCTTTACCATCAGTAACTAGTGCAGATATGTACCATTTAATTAATGCTTGCTATTTCAAAGATCATATAAATGAGAACACTTGAAGAACAAACTTTGATTTTTTTTCCTTTGGATGCATAAAGGTAATTTTGAGCTTCCAATGCATGTTTGGATAATTGAGGCTATGAATCAAAGGAATCACAGTTAATTGAAGTATCACCATATTTAACCACTATTGTACACCTGAAACAAATATAACACTATGTTAACTATACTGGAATTAATTTTTTTAAGTTATTCAACCATAGGATTCTATTGCCCTTTTTATAGTATGTGGGCTTTTTCAGCAACTGTTATTAAATGTCTACACAATATTGGGCTTTTGCTAGTTACTACGGATAACAATGACCTTTAAATTCTGTTATTTTTTTCCCACAAGGCCTAGCAAGGGTCTTTGTATATTAATGCTTTTGACTTCACAGAGTTGAGCCACTTTGATATCTTACAATAATAAGATACCATGCACTGAATTGCATGATTCATGCACTGAAATTATGTTAACAAATCCAGAGTACTTGTGTAATTTACTTTACCTCCATCCATAGTATCTTTGCCTTTTTCCCTTTGATCAACATTTGGTGAAAACTAGGTACTGTGCATATCAGAACATCAGTTCTCTGAAACTCATCATTTTTAGGCCTTCCTGTATGGGATTTAACTTTGCTGCTTCTGTCTTGCTCTATGGTTGAATTGCTCCACTAGGTGGAGCCCTTTTATTATGAAGCTCAGAACAACCTGTTAAGAACTCAAGTTATGTAATCAAAGAGATAATCTTTTCAGAGCTTTAAGAAAACAAGCTATTAATGAGGTAAATCAGAACACTGTCAAATACTCAGACGTTCAACAGTCTACCTATGCATTTTTAATATGCTTTTATATTATACTCTAAGTCAACTTCTAATGGGTTGTCAGCATAAACTTAGAGCTCCTCAATACATTGAAGGTTCGAGTCTATTTGTCAACAGTTCCACAGCCCTTGTTGATGATGTCATAACTTTTCACCAAGAGACAGGCCCAGTGGAACACAATGGATGTCAAGGTCAGATTGACCCATGTTTAAATTCTTGGTCTACCACTTCCTAGCTGTAGTAACCTTGGAGTTACATATGTTAGAAAAAATATTTTCTTTATCTATAAAATGAAGATCATAATTCTGCCTTTGACAAATTATTATAAATGTACACTATAATGTATTGGAAGCGCTTGCTAAGTTCTCTGTAGATGGTCTACAATAGTAACTATTATTGCTATTTAAAGTGCTTGCTTAAGATATTGAAGCCTCTAATATCTAATATATTAATGGTACTAAATCACTATTAGCAATCACCTGACTCTTTTATACCGTTAAATACAAGTGAAAAACAAATAGAAATTGAGGGCATTTCCCATACTAACCTCCTGCAAAGCCTATTTTGCTTTCTTTCTAGGGAGCTCAGGGTTCCCCTTGAGTTGGACCTTGAAGAATGATAGGACCAGAAGTTGTTAGTAGGATGACTAGCCATGTTCGGGAAAGAGACCAAATGGGAGATTTCAATGGAGGGCTTTGAACAACAGGAAAGTAACACTTCTGGAAGTTTCTGTAGACTGAGCCATTGAGCAAAGTGGTGATCTAATCGTGGGTACACTTGAATAGATCACTCAAGTGGCTTTTCTACGAGGTGGTGAAAGGGAGAGAACAGTCAACCATCTAGAATGGAATTTGTGAGATTTAAAAGGCTTTAATTAGGGCAGTAACAAAAGCATGAAAAAACATAAGAATTTTATGGATCAGACCAAGATTTGGCAACCGCTTTGATAGTCTGGGAATGAAAGATAGGTAAAGAAAACCCCAAGTCTTTGAGATTGACTGTCAAAAAGAATGGAAATTTTGCTTCTGATCTTAGCTTGTGAGTACATAGGAGAGGAAAGGAAATGTGGGCCATAATGTTTGAGGAACCTGAGGAACACTGACAGGCAGTTAGAAATGTGCAGCTGGAACCAGGGGAGAGCATGGAGTTTGATGCCATTTGGGAAACTTCCATACAGCAGTTATACTGCATAAATAAATCTGAGGGTACTCAATGATGGAGCTTATTGAGTGAAAAAGGAAAAATGGCTGGGCATTGGTCTTTGGTGAATGGTTTTATTTAAGGGTCAAGCACAGAAGAATGTGAAGAAATGATCAAGAGAAGTAATGGTCAATGTGGTAGAAGCAAAAGTGTCAAGGAGATCATTAGAGGAGGACACTGGTTTTAGTCTCTAAGGCATCACTGGAAATCTTTAAGAAATCAGGTTCAGTGGAGTAGGAGGGGCCATTTGGACAAGTTCTGGGAGCTTGACCTAGAACACTTGTTAATATGAAGATTCCTGAGTTGCTGCAGACTCTGTAAACCAGAATATCTGAGACTGAGGCCTGGAGAATATGAATTTTTGACAACATCTCCAAAGATTTTTATGTACCAAAAAATACTGTTTTTGAAAGTCATTTGAACAGAGAAAAATGTCCTCCTATCTAGCACTGGTTTAGAGCACAGTGACACATGTAAGATACACATAAGATAAAGTACTGTGCTACATGAAGAAACACAAAAGAATCTATGATTTTTAAGAATAACAATTGTTTTCTTTTAGAGAATATGGATAGTACTACTAAACTAAAAAAAAAAGTGAAGGAAAACCACTTCTAGTCTCATCACCTGAAGATAACTGCAGTTAACATTTTGGTTTATAACCACCCAATCTCATCTATAACCATGGCTCTTGAACTTTCTGGTCTCAGAACACCTTTATACACTAAAAAAAAAAAAAGAAGAAGAAGAAAACATTGAGAACCTCCAAAGAGCTTTTGTTTATGTGGATTATGTCTATTTATATTTACCATACTATAAATTTAAACTGAGCAATTTAAAAGTATTTATGAATTTATTAAAAATATCAATAAGTTAATGTAACTAAAGACGGGTAACAGTAACACCCTTTGTAGTTAGAGGACAGAATTGTGATTATTTACTCTTATTTACAGTCAGCAATTATCAATAATAGAAGTGATTTTTTTTCTGTGATATTAGGAGACTTCACAGTTGACATTCAGATAATCACAGAAATGTTCTAGACCAGCAATCAGGAGATGTAGATTCTAGCTTGACTCTGCCATAACTTTAATTTCTCTTGGACTTCATTTCTACATATAGAAAATGAAACAAGGAAAATACCTGTTTCCTTTCAAAATCCAAACTCCTGTCACGCAAGTCACCTGATGATCACAAGTCCTACAACATATGGGGGTCACCCTTTTCTGTAAAACCTAGGCAGAGAGTTCATGTGCCTATCACTAGATCACAATAGGATCTAACCTCCCCACCAATTTCCTCTTCCAAAGGCCATATTATTAATGTGTTTTTTGAAAACAACAGAAATTGTTTCACATCCACCACTAACCCAGACCACGGAACCCCGCTCCTTCTTTGTTGACATATACTGAACATGCTGCAGTCAGCTTCCATTCCTTAATGTTAGTGACTGCTGAGAGCTCAGGAGCTGACACCTCTCTTCCTTAATCCCACCGAAGTACCATTAATACAGTAACAAAGATTTTTTTTAAGTCCATTACATATGAGTATAAATAACATAAGTTTTATGAAAAATATTTTCTAAAACAAAGAACTATATTATTTAACATTTTTGCAGACCTCTTTAATACATGACATACTAGGAAATAAATGGATTCTCATATACACTTCATTTGCTCTCAGAGCAATGTCCTCTCATGGCCCTACCTACCCATCCATCCAGGTTCCTCTTGACTATACTTTGTGAACCACTCCTCTATGATAAACACAGAAAAGGAACCATGAAGGTGGTGTTCACTGTATTACTCCAGTATAGTGCCCAACAAAGAAAGGATGCTCAACAAAGTTGTTGGGTAAATGAATAAAATATACATTTTTAACCAAAAAAGACTTTGTTAGTCACTTTTTCACTTCACTTTCAATGGAGTTGCAATACACGTGCTTTTACATAAGCAACTTTAACTCTACAAGCTTCCATGGGAGTTCTTCAGCATTGAGGCATTCAATATTCACTCAGGTATCTAAGCCAGAAACAGTATTTGTTGACAAAAGCCTAATAAAGGAACATGTGACTAATTAAAACAAATCTCCAACTAGTGACCAAGAAGTAAATTTATTGTAAACAGTCATGGGCAATTTAGGGTCTTGCAAGGACAAATTTTTAAATAATTACCTTACATGCTAATACTGTTTTATGTCATATGTTCTTCTACATTGTTGTTTATAGTAGATGCCTAATGCTTTAATTGGTTTGGTGTATCTTAATTTATTAAATCTTCTAATAAAGACTTAGGTTTTGATTTTTTGTTTTTAGCTTTTCTATATGTTACTACTTAGGCATCTTTTTAACTACATTTGTGTGCATTCCTCCTTCCTTCATATAAAAAATGTGTGTGTGTGTGTGTGTGTGTGTGTGTGTGTGTGTGTATCATTAAGTGGCCCTCCAGGAAACATTGTATCAATTTTGATTAGGTAATTTTTTAAAATGTTGCTTATGATTAAGATAAGCATTGTGAATATTGCACACTGACCCTATTAAAGCTTTGTAAGTCTATTCGTAAGTAATAGTGTGTAGAAGTAGGAATGAATCTTGTGAACAGATCATCCTGTGTATGATAAGGGAAGAAATAGCTTTCAGCATGCTGAGTGCCATTACCTTACTCTCCCATGCGATAAGAAGCAAGATTTTCAGAATCCTTTTCAAAGGATATTAGGATCTTCTGAAGAAAGACTCAATAGGTGACAGTGTTATTTTCACATCTTCAATATACCAAGGCAGTAAAAGAGGAAGCATTAGCACCTGAAGAGAAAACTTCACTGTCACAGACATCTACATTAAATCATCAAAGCTTTATGCTGAGTTAACACCTGTAGTTACAGATCTCAGCAGAAGAAAATTATACCCGTCTAGTCATATGCACAGATAATTGAAAAATTACAACAGATATTATTTTGTGCTGTGTATTTTTGACACATATAACAATATCTATTTAGTGATATAATTATTCTACATGCTTCCCCCTTGCTATCTAATCCCATAAAATACTATGGAGACAACATTCATGTCTGAAATATTTACAAAAACACTTCGGTTGCATTCAGAATATAATTTCAAAAAGTATATCATTGCAAGGATTATTATATCTTTTTTTAAGTTTATTTAGTTTGAGAGAGCGAGAGTATGGGAGGGACGGGGCGGGGCAGGGAAGAGGGAGAGACGGAGATAGAATATCAAGCAGGGTCTGCACTATCAGCACAGAGTCCCACGCAGAGGTGGAACTCATGAATCGTGCGATCATGACGTGAGCCAAAAGCAAGACTTGGAGGCTTAACCGGCTAAGCCACCCAGGCACCCCAGGATTATTATATCTTAATCATTTCTGTAACTCTGAAAATTGTTTCCTTATGCATCTCTTAGTTTAATGATTCAAAGCAGTAAGACTTAATATTAGAGAAAACTGTTGCTGTTAGAAAATTTGAATTTTTGAAAAATACATATTTTTAGAGAAATGGCTCTGGTACTCTCAATTATGTCAGATATCATTTCATTTTATCAGATCAAATCATACCAAATTATACTAGATCAAATGATTGTAACTGACTAGAAGATTTATAGGAAAAACTAATATTTTATATTTAAGATTATCATGATCTGATTCTCACAAGTCTTCATAACTTGGTAGTGTCTTCTTCCCTCACCCCCACACCCATTGTCAGCCAGCACATCCATGCAGATACACTCATATGCATGCATGTACATGCACACACATACATATGATTCTTCTGTAGTGTAGATCCCTGTCCTTCTCTGGGTACCTGTACTTCCTCAATTCTAACTTATATCATGCAGCCCTGAGAAGTGGTCTGTGTGGGCTAGTGGTCATTCCTAAATCTGCCTGCTGCAGGCTCTCCTAGGCTGTCGTACCAAACTTTCTGAAAGTACAACCTGAGACTTACATTATGAAATAGATTCTGAGGTAGGACCATGTTTTTTCCTCTATAAGCTTTCTAATTTTCAGATAACTTTTTGGACACCCCAGTTTAAATGACCTGGCCTCACTCTGGAAGTGTAGGGAATAAGACCCATTATCTAGCTCCAACAAGGAAATGAAATAATAATGTACACTGCTCTTTCAGAGAGCTGTAGATTAACAAACACTGCTATGTAGTACTGGGCCCTCAGGGAGGAAAGACAGGGTGCCTTCAATCTTTAAAAGGACTCATTATGTAAAAAACAGAGCCCAGAGCTTCTTAATTTTTTCCCCATTCATTGATTCAGCAAATACTTACTGAGTTACTAAGCATCAGGCCTCATTCATGGAGGTTGCATTCTAATTGAGGAAGAAGGTTATAGAAATATCAACAGTAACAACAGAATACCAGATACTAATGCCATGCAGACTTAAAACAGGAGAATATAATAGTTGCCTGGGCAGCCATTTTAGAGTGTGTGGTCAGGAAGACCTAACTTTTAGCAAAACTTAGGAAATTTAAAGTGAACTACAAGTGGACAGCCATGTGTAGGTCAAGAGGAAAATATATCAGGGCAAAGCCCTGATAGCCCTGGGATGGGAATGGCTTTGGCATGTTTGAGGAGGTAAATGCAGTGTGAATGGAGTATAGTAGGTAAGCAGGTACAGAAGAAGCAGGAGATCATGACAGGTAACTGATTGTGCACAGTATGGAGGCTAGAGTTGGAAACCAGTTGAAGGGTTGTTTTCAGGTAAGTAATGTGGTCATCATGCGATCATCAGAACCTTTTTCAAACTGGCTGCTCTGTATAAAATGGATTTTAAGGTGACAAAACAAAAGGCCTGGAGGATTTAGAAAGATCAGGAGCCATTCTGTGAACCACACCAGAAGTGATTTTGGCTTGGGCTCTGGTTGTTATAGAGATGGTGAGAAGTAGGTGAAATGAGCATAACTTGCACATCATACAAAGGTAATTAGATGTCCAATGAGGATGACTTCACTGGTGACTTGATGAGCAGCCTCAGAAGATGGCTTTTTAGTGTTGGCTCAAATATTTTTAAATAGATCACATACAAAATTCTGAAATTCTGTTTTCTCTTAAGAAACTAGAGTATCTGACTACATTGAGTCTGAATTCTCATATGGCAGCAGATGTTGGGAGCTGAATATTGGTTTCTCACTTTAGCAGATGGGTATAGGCTCTGGTTTGCAAAGTCTCCATCTGTCCTCTTTGTCTCCCTGACAATGAGGCTATTGTTGGTTGTCATTTATAAGCAGTTTATTCTATTCTTTTTCCTGTATCATGTACACTTAATTTATTTACCATACCCTGTAGGCCTTTTAATTTTGGGGTCTCACCTCTGATAGAAAGTAGGGGAAATAAGTACCTATGAACCTCTATATAGGTGTAAAAATGACCTGTTTGCCAGCTCTACTAAAAATTATATAATAATAGAATTCTTTAAAACCAGCTTGTGTTGTTAGAAGCCATGTTGATTACCCTTAGAGACATTCCCTAGAAACACAAGAAGGGTTTTTTGGTGTGCTATCAGTGTGTTCAGTTTGTGAAAAATGCTCTTATGCATACTTATATGTGTATTTTATGTGTATTATACTCTAATTACAACAAAAAACAGTATTTTTTTACAAATGATTTGAAATATGAATGTTCTTGTTGAGAGTTGTATATTTTATAAATTGCTTTTTGTTCTTTCAGCCAAGCCAAAGCCATGTACTCTTGTAAAGCAGAACACAGCCATGAGCTTTCTTTCCCACAGGGGGCAATATTTTCTAATGGTAAGTAGAACTATTCTTTCTACTTAAGTTTATTATCATGGAGAAGATGAAGGGATAGTGAAGAGATAAGAAGCTAAAGTAGAAGTAGGAGACTCAGAATCTACTCTAGCCCCTGCCTTTCATAAACTGTACAAGTTAATGCACTATATTTCTCTGGAGCCCAGTTTTCTCCTGTGTATGAAAGACAGGGAGAAAGGAGGAGGAAGGGATGGAGGAGATGGGAGAGATGGTGGGATGAGAGGGATTAGGAAGGGAGAGAAATTGGTTACAAGAATGCAAAGGACATTTCCAGTTTTAAAGGTGTTGTGACATTGTTTTAACAACTTAGTGTATTTATGCAACCTGATGTGCATTTTAACCCATTTGTATATATAATTATTTAAAGCTAATGCTGATTGAATGACACTTGTTGTTTTTATTTTTTGCCAGTATACCCATCAGTGGAACCAGGATGGTTGAAGGCAACCTATGAAGGCAAAACAGGACTAGTTCCAGAAAATTATGTTGTCTTCCTCTAATACTGTTTAGTGGATGGCAGTATCTTCATGGTATCCATGGTAACAATAATAAGTGCTATGATTTTATCTGACACAGATATGGGAATCAGCCCACTAAACGAAACGTAAATTTCTATCAAGTTCTACACCAACAGACTATGTAGCTCCCTATAATGAAAAAGAAAAAAAAATGCATAAATTGTTTGCCATGCCATTCTTTTCATTTTTCTTCTTGACTGGTTTCTTATTTTAAAATCTTGCCCCTGCCCTTGTTTTTGACAAGTAACTCTGCACACTGTCTTTTCCATAACAATTGTAGAATACTGTGTTAAGTACTATATCCCAGAGATTTGGGAACTAGAAATTTGCTATAAGGATTTTTAGATAAGTCCTTTACGGCCTGGCATTCTCTGAGGAACCTTGAAATCATTACTTAAAAATGTAATTTAAATTGTTCATTTATTATTTTTCTTATGAATTTATTTCTTTTTTATATCATTGTTTTGCTGGTCCTAAACATTTCAAGGAAATAGGTTTTTTTAACATAAGTTTATTTTTATTTGTTTACCATGTAGATGATGGTATTCAAAAGGAATAATGTATATTATGTCTATAAATCAAGTTAGGTCATACACTGATTTCAGTATTAAACACTCCCTTCAGCATTCTAGATGCCTTCTATGGATGTAGACTGGGGATTAGCAAACTATTTCTCTCAAGACCTGATAGTAAATATTTGAGGGCTTTGTACACCCTAAAGGTCTTTACCACAGTACTCGACTGCCATTGTAGCACAAAGCACCCGTAGATAATGAATAAGCAAATGGACAAGGCTTAGTGCCAATACAACTTTATGGACTCTGAAATTTGAAAATTTCAAAATTCTCTTGTGTTCTGACATATGATCCTTTAACTTCTTCAAATCTATTGAAAAATAGAAATATTTTAGTTGGTGGGCCATGCAAAACTAGTGGCAGGCCAGATTTGACTCATGGGTCATAGTTTGCTGATGCCTAGTTTAGAGGATGTATAAAACTATCTTTATAACTTTGGGATTTTATGAAATTTTACTACATTAATATATAAATACTGATAATTCATATGCACGTATCATCTGGTAGTGGCATTACAGTGGCATCAAAAATTATAATTACAGTAATATGAAAACAATATAAAAGTGGATTTTTAAGGCATGCAGCCTAAATTCTACTTGTAACACTGTCAAGTGGCAATGTATTTTATTGACATCTAATTTTGTCTTTTTAGAAATTCTTGTACAGGTGATAAAGATTTTTTTAAAGGTACAAGTATGCTTAAATTCTTTTAAATTTTATACTTAGTTTTAAGAGAAACCAAACATAAACATAAACATCCTGTACCTTTGTATAGGATTCTTAAATAATCATAAGCCACAGAATTTAAAATTGTTTAATCATCTTTAACAGGAATAAAATCTATACATGACTTTCTTTCATGCCTTTCAATTTACAACTTTTATTAGGAATTTCACTGACTTTATAGAGCATAGAAATAGATATTCACTACCCATTTAAATAAATCATCAACATCTGGTTGTGCACCAACCATTATTTCTATTATTTCTGTTTCAATTATTCTAATATATTATTTCTATAAATATCTACATGTGGCAAAGAGCCTCTCTTCTCAAGATTCCAAAAATCTTGCCATTGATGGCCACAGTGCTGGTCCACTGGACCATAATATTTTACTTGTTACTTCAGAGTACTCCACTGTTCAGACACTCAGGTATTGACTGCATAAAACTCTTTTTATGTGATAATATAATCTGGAGTCTCAATCTCTTCTCTTTAAATGAATGTTTCAAGAGTTAACAGGTTAAATTATACGTACACATATACACACAACTATGCCTTAGAGCATTTATGTTTTTAAAATAAAAAGTGGAATACTAGATTAGAACTTATAAAGAATAATGATAGGCAGAATCACAACCAGAAATAAATATCAGTGCATTGAATAAAGGGATGAAAAATATTTAATGTAAAATTAGTAATATAATGAAAAAATCTGATAAATGTTTATTTTTTACCTCCTGCTATTGATCTTTGTATACTTATGATCAGGTGTTGCTAGAGCTTTTTGGTCTCTAGATCCTTGATGGCCTTTCCTAGTAATAATAGCATTGCTGATACTCTGACTACCTTCTGCTGGAACAGAAGGAAGTCTTTCCAATGTTCCAGTCCCTAAGTTTATGACACCCTCAGTTTAAATGCCTTTGCCATCATCTGACATCCTACTTAGATTAGAATCTCTTAATGGCAAATTGATTATCTTGCAAACACCAACTTGGCTCCATCTTGAAAGATTCAGAATTCTACTTCATTTGCTGCAGCAGAGAGAAATCTCAACCTTCATTTTATTTTAACACAGACCAGGGTGTTCTTTCCTCTGAGTTGTCTGTGAGCTAATTCCACTGATGATTAGTGAGGAATTAAAGCTTTTGCTGTATAGGACATGGATGTGAAGCCCAGCTCTCCTTTCTTATATAGTAAGGCATTACTATACAGTTATTGTGGCATTACTTACCGTGGTCCCTTTTTTGAAACGAAAGTGCAAGTGCTTGTTCAAATTGTACCTTTTTTTTGAAGTTTTAGTCTTACAGATTTATGGGGATGGTCCTTTTTTCTTCATATTGATTACAGGTGTTAAGCAAGCTATGGCCATATACTGCTTTTCCTTAGAAATGTTTTATTTATGAGCATTGAGAAAAATCAAGACGTGCTTTAAATTACGTGGACTGTTAATTACACAAGAAGGTAATGACAGTCATTGAAGGACAGTCGCATTAAAAATGTAACCACAGTTCAGTAATGAAACCTTAACATTTCAGGGATAATGTGAAGATAGGTTAGAATCGCCACCTCTACATCTCCAAAACACACAATGTAGACCCCCTAAACACTGCTTACAGTATAATTAATATGAGGAAGTGATGGATAAGTCTGTGTCAATCATCTTGTGTACTGTGTGAAAATATACTCCAGTACAAAACATTTATGTATTTAACAGGTGACCTTTTTGTTACGCCTTAATGCCTACTGCGTTTATAGACACTAGTCAGACAACTGAAGGCTTTTCTTGTGTTATGTGTAAATGCTGAAAAGTAAAATAATCTTTGTATTCCTGTGAAGTCCTTGAAGTATGAGGAAATGCCATTTCTTCTTATTTGATTTGAGTGTTTTTGGTAGTTGTGTTGACTCTCTGTACTTTGTAATGTGAATGAGTATACCCAGGTTTCTCAACAATGGCTTCTTTGCTAGCTCTTTCAGGGATGGTGGAGAGGAAAGAAAAAAATGTACTTTTCAATATCAAACTATCCAAGTTTCCAAATAGGAGAAATAAAGATACATAAAGACTTTTATTCTTTATTCTATGATAATTGGTTTTATATATTGTGGTACTCCTTTTAAAAATCCACTAGGTCGAAAAACAAAATCCACTAGGTTGTAAGGAAAAAAACTTGGCACTGTAATCCTTTGACAAAACCTCAATCACCTTGTTACTTCCAGCCACATTCTTCAGGTCTGTATCTCTTTCTGATATGAAAAGGATGTCATTCATATTGATGCTAGTATAGAAGAGTCCCTCGGAGCCTTCTCTCAGACGACTGTGTTTGTAGTATACCCCTCAATAGATATTCAGGATACCTTAATTAACATTTAGAGCCCACTTGACTTACACTTTATTGACTCACAAGTTAGAGGCAGACTGTTTAGGGTCAGATTTTGTTCTTTGTTTTTATAATACCTTCTCAATTTGTAGCTGTTACTATGACCTAATAATATCATTGAGTAGACCCCCAAATCATATCTCCCTGTTAAAGAAAAAAACAGAGACTTCACTATTGTCCAGAAGTTATTTTGCACTTGATTAAAGGTTTCTCACTTAGGATGGGGGTAGGAAATTGCTATTTACCTTTGCTTCCTATCTTTCTTGGTTACCTTTCAAAGTCAAAACAATTTTTACAAAGGAACCTTTTGAATAGTCTATGTCTTGCCTGTCTCCTGTTGATCTGCCGACTTATTTCCAGGTATTTATCAACTAGTCTTACATTTCCTGAACACATTTACTGTATCCATTCATTGTCACCAAAATCTCCCTGCTTCAGATGTACAGGTTCTACTTGGTGGTAATTGCAGACGAATTCTGACATATAACTGACATGGACTTTTAGAGAATCAGATCAATAAATAGGTTTTTTTTTTTTTAATTTTTTATGGCAGCTGTGTCTACTGCTTAAAATAAGGAATTTCGATCAAGAATGTTGACAGCACTAACAGTGAGCCATTGACAGAAAACTGATGTGAATATTCTAGATCAGTGGTTAGAAGCTGTTGTATTAGTTAGGGAATCCAGTAGGTCATCTTTTCCCTCCCTGGCACTCAAGAGAGATGCCAGGTTCAGAGACTGGTGAATGCCAGAACATTTCTTGGTGCTATAGGGACGAATGGAATCTGTTTGCTTACTAAGAAGTCTCAAAAGGTAGGGGCCACTAATAGTTATTACATACATAAATATCCTTCATTATCCAAGATGGTCATTTACAGGACTGTGTGAGGTAATTAAGTATTGGAGGCAGGTGGAGGCCAAAGGTGCTGATGCCACTTAATTAGATGACCACTTTATCTTTCCTCTTTGTGCCATCTGCGATCTCTCAGCGTTTCCTTTGGTCTTTACCTTTCCAGGATTGAACACAGCCTAACTTTGCCTTGAACCACCCAGTCTCTTATATTAAAAGTGTGCATTGTTTTATATATGGCAGCATGTTAGAAGTTTTATATCTGGCTTTGTATCTTCATTTACCTTTTTACAGAGAACACTGCCTGCACTTGATTTATGCCTAAAATATGAGATATCACCACACTGAAGGCTGTGATTTCAGGAGGAACTGAAACCTTTACAGTTAAATAGGGAGTTTGGCAGGGAAGGGGGCTTTTTTTTTTTTTTCAGAATCTTATTTATATACTGTTAAAATTTGAAGTATTATAGTTTATATTAAAATTGAATATTTAGATACTCTATTTCAGTACTAGGAATATTTTTTGCAGCCACTAACATGACAGATTAATAAATATGATGAAAATGATTGTCAGTAAATTATGTTGAATTTTTTGTAGTGTTTCTGTATTTGTTTTCACTTTGTGTATATATACACACATACATATACAAACATGTAGATAACCTCATGTTATTCCTAAACTAATTTGCCACAATATCTTTAATGTATGTTGACACTGTATTTTAAATTACTTTAAAAATAAACTATGTAAGCTCATTTTAATTTAGTCTTTGTACTTCAAGAGCCACTGTTTTGGAGGGCAGCTGTCTTGGATTCATATAGAGAAAAAAACAGTTTCAAGTACTATGAATGGTCATTTTGGGTGTGGCCGAGTGGAAAATCATAGCAGAATTAATAAACTTTTCCTGACGATTGGACCTTTTGCCAAGAAACTGGCATAATGATAGATCAGAAGAATGTTAATGTTGGTACCTATTAATGATGCAGATGTCTACAGGAGAGAGAAGTAAATGAACCATAAGCAAAATATCAAATATAACAGGTATGTAGGCTTACCCAAAAATATGTTTGCAAAAGTTTACAAGTGTGCTGTGGAAGAAGTATCAGCATGCAAACACTCGCTTTGGTTTTCATTAGTTTTATGACATTCTTGATCACTATTTGACTTCTAGCTAAAATTTTGGATTTATTTTATACTCCTAAGTGGATTGTTAGAGTGCAGCAATCACCTTGCAAAAATTAAGCCTGACAGGTTAATAACAGGGCTTTTGAGCAGTAAACCTGATTGGCTCAACTGGATTATAACTGTCCTCGATACCAGAAGAGAAGCAAAAAATTCATGACACAAGATTGTTGAGATAAAAAGAGTAATGTGAATAAATTTCAGTATGAGTAACCACGAAAGGACTGCCAGGATTGGTATGAGAAATCATTGTAGATGAGCTACTCTTTGAGAATGTTGGGTTGGAAGGAATTAACCTAGATGCAATTTCTTATAATTGGTATTTTAGAAATAACAGAAACTAGTTCCCAGTAGCCAAAACTGTAATGGTTTGAGCAACAAAATAAGTAATGTATCAAATGGTTGGATTATAACCCAAAGTATAAAATACTGATGAATCACACTGATACAAATGACAATAAATTTTGTTTATATAAACACATGTAAAATCAGGAAGAGACAGATATTCTTGGGAGAAGAATTTCGAAGAATTGGAATTGCATTACCCTTC